CTTGGCCAGTGATGGAACCTGCAACCCCTCTGGTGTGTGGACCGACACTCTAACCACTGAGCTCACTGGCCAGAGCTTGATGTTATTATTTTCAAAGAACCAGCTCTTGGTTGCATTCATTTTTCGATTGTATATTTTCTCTATTTTGTTTAATTCTGCTCTGATTTTTATTATTTCCTTCCTTCTACCCGACCTTGTTCTTTTTCTAGTTACTCAGGGTGAAATGTTAGGTTGTTTAGTTGAGATTTCTCTTGTTCTTGAGGTAAGTCTGTAATGCTGTAAACTTCCTTCTTAGTACCGCTTTTGCTGCCTCTCTCAGATCTTGATGTCGTGTTGTCGTTCTCATTTACCCCTGTTACCTTTCGATCTTCTATTTCTTCTTTGACCCAGTCTTTGTTTAGGACCATGTTGTTTAATCTCCACATATTTGTGGTACGTTTCCGCTTTCTTTTTGTAGTTGATTTTTCTATTTCAAAGCATTGTGGTTGGAAAATATCCTTGGTATGATCTCAATCTTCTTAGGTATCTGAGCCTACTTTTGTGTGTGTGGAGAATGTTCCATGGGCACTAGAGAAGAATGCATATCTTCCCTACTGTTCTGGGATGAAACACTTGGTAAATATCGATTATGTCCCTTTGGTCTAATGCATCATTTAAGGCTGATATTTCCTTATTGATTTTCTATTTGGATGATCTGTCCATCACTGTCAATGGGGTATTCAGGTTCCCTACTATAAGTTTATTTTTGTCAGTTTCTCAGAACCTTTAGTTCTTTTAGTGATTGCTTTATGTATTTTGGTGCTCTCTGGTGGGGTGCATATATATTAATAAGTGTTATGTCTTCATGATGTCCCCTTTATCATTATGAAATACCCATCTGTGTCTCTTATTACCTTTTATATCTTGAAATCTATTTGTCTGATATAAATACAGTTATACCTGTTTTTCTCTGAATGCCATTTTCCACCCCTTTGAGTCTGTCTTTGCAGCTAAGATGTGTCTCCTGAAGGCAGTGTGTCGTTGTGTTTTGTTTGCTGATCCACCCCATTACTCCCCTGTGCCTTTTAATTGATGAGTTCAATCCATTTATATATGTTTATATATTTTTTAATTGATTTTAGATAGGGAGGAAGGAGATAGAAACATCAATGATGAGAATCACGGATCGGATGGGTCCTGCACGCCCCCTACTGGGGATCAAGCCTGCAACCCAGGCAGGTGCCCTTGACTGGAATGGAACCCGGGACCCTTCAGTCTGCAGGTCCATGCTCTGTCCACTGAGCCACATCAGCCAGGCAAGCCCATGTATATTTAGAGTGAATATTGATATATGAAGATTTCCTATAGCCTATAGATTTACCTTTTTTATTTTATTGTTGTCACCCTTACAGATGTTCCCATTTCCCCACCCCCACCCCTTCCTTTTGACGTCAGCACACCGTTGTGTGTGTCTATAGGTCATGCATACATGTCCTTTGGCTAATCCTTTCACCTTTCCAGTCCCGCTCCCCGCTGCGCTTAACGTCATCATCTCGCGCACTCCCCCAGCGCCCGGCCCGCGCGGCGCGGCGCTTTGACGTCATCATCCCG